AATAGTATTAAACATCCCATAGACTGCCAAAAGAACAAACAAATATGTCTTGGGAGAGAATATAGCCAGGTTTACACTTTGAGGGAAGGATGGTGAAACAGTCTCACATCCTTTGGGCATGTTGTTTGGAGGGCCCAGTCCTTGGAAAAAGACTTCCTGCTCAGAAAAATTCAAGATGGTCCTATGTGCCATAAACTCCTGCTCTGAGTGTCCTGTCTCATTGTGTCTGGCCAGCAGAAGAGCAGGGCAGGTGCTGAAGTAAGGCTTCCAGAAATGTCCCTCATCTGTAACTGACAAACGTGGACATTGCCCACATTACTGGGAAAGCCTCAGTTACTCGCAGAGTTCCCAGAGAGAGTGAATCTTCAGGGACTCATGGGGATCCTGACTTTCTAATATTTTAGTTGTTATTGTTGTGTACTGTAGAGTTGGAACCAACCCACAGCTGCCCCTCCAGCAAATTTTCAGAGGCAGTTAATTGTTATGCCACAATTCCGAGTCCCCCAAAGACCACCAGGGAGCCGAATCCGATGGAAGAACATGAGGGATCTTTATTACAAGCTCTCGAGCACAGACTCCAACGTACTCTGACTAGCAGCAGTGTGCAAGAGCCCCTAGCCCTTTGTGTCCAAGACTTTTATTGCCGCTGGGAGGGGCCAGGGTCGGTTGGGGCTGGAGATATAGAGGATTAGGGAACTCATGGGGGAAGGTGGTGACAACGACTTAGGGCAATTGGTTATTTTGGAAAAGAGCGGACTCATTAGCAAGAGTCCCGTAAATTAGACTAAGGACCATACGGGTGGAGTTAGTGTTTCTTCTTTGTTGCTGAGGTACTTTCAGGAAATGAACTCATGAACAAAGACTTAAGATGGTGGCTAGACCAGAGGTATATACGGTATACAACACTTACATTCAAAACTTAGTTCTAACATCCAAGACTTAACTCTAGTATCTAAAACTTAACTTTAACATTCAAAACTTTAACATAATAGCACAGGAGGAGATTGCTCATCCTTGCCCTGCTGAGCAGCTGGTGGATTTGAACCACGTGCCTTCAGGATTGCAGTGCAGCTTGTTGTCATTAAGCCACCAGTGCTCCTTTTACCAAATTGTAGTAAAAATATTTATTACCAACTATTTGCCAATGCAAGCTTGTTTTATATGTATAATTCAATGACATGATTACATTCATTGTGTTGTATATCTGTGGCCATTATCCTTTTCCAGATTATTCCACCACCATTATGGTAAGCTCAGTGGCTCCTTCAGCCATGACTCCTTCCTTCTCAGTTCCTCCTATCCCTGGAAATCATAATAAACTTTGGTCCCTAGACATTTTCATAGTCTCCATATTTCATATAATTGAGGTAATACCATGTTCTTCCTTCTGTGACTGACTTGCTTCACTCAAAATGTTTTCAAGTTTGTTTTTTTTTAATTCTTTCTTCTTTAATTTCCATGTACCAAGGAAGGCTATCAAACAAACACTGATCTCAAACAACCTCACTACCTAAAGGATTTTTTTATTTTATTAATTTTAATGAACATTTACAGAGATTCTGGATTTCCATTCATTCATTGTTGCACTTTTTTCTCTTACACACCCCGCCACCCCACCCCACCCCCAGTTCACTCCTGTCTTCGAAAAGCAAAAGATAAACTCCTTCATTGGTATACAACCCCACCACCCCGAATGCACTCAACTATGCAACTTCTCAGTGTTTGATGGCAAATAAATCACTGTAAAGTTATTCCAACATTGAAAATATACGTTTTTTTCACTCTTCTTGTACTTTAATTCTGAGATTTTTTCCTAATACAACAGTAATTTATTTTTAAATTGGAATAAGAGAAATACATAAACTTTGAGACAAAACTCAGTTAAAAGTTTACATTTTGTGCTATTTTTAAAATAGTTTTTTAAATTTTAATTGTGATGTTAACAAAAATTTACAGAAAAGTTGGATTTTCATTCACTCATTGTTGCACATTTTCTCCTTCTCCCTCCCCCAGTTCACTTTTCTTTTTTTTAATATTTATTTATTGTTGCACAGTTTTCAAGTTTTAGCATGCCTTAAGACTTCATTTATCTTTCCAACTGAGTAATGCTGGTGTCACGGTGGCTAAGGACTCAGTTGCTAATGAAAGAGTTGGCAGTTGGACCCTACCAGCCACCCTATGGGAGAAAACTGGTGGTCTTCTCCTGTGAGGATTGTAGCCTTGGAATCCCAGTGGACAGTTCGATTCTGTCCTGTGTGGTCAGTGCAATGAATGAGTCATTAGTTGGGTTTGTTTTCTTCAGTATTCTACACTCTTATTTTTCTCCATTTATGTATTGATGAGCATATGGATTGCTTTCACCTGCTGGCCATTATGATGCTCTGGACATTCACATACATGCTCCTGCTCTGCATTTAGAGTGGGATTCCTGGATTGTGTGGTAGGAGCCTACTCCTTAGGGTACTCTGGATTGGCTTCCTCGCTCTCAGGCTTCTTTATTGCTGTTCTACTAGTACCATCTAGGGTCCACTCCCAAGTGAACAGCCTGCATTTGAATCTTGGATCTGCTTCTGGAGAAGACCAGGCTAAATACCTAGTCAGTCAGACAAAAAGACCCCAAAGTGGATGATTGAGACTGGTGGCCAGCCAGGTGCAGGGAGCATGCAGGACTGTCAGTGTCAGCTCACCCCATCAGGCCTCAGTCCATGGATTCTTGTCTCCCCACCCTGACCACAGGATTAGGGTCAGCTTCAGCTCTGGTCAGGCTCTGCTTACTTTTACCCCAGCAAACTGGCCTTGCTGTGCTGGCCTCTCTGTGACAAAGGGTGCATTCTCTCTGAATCAAGCACTCAAGTGCACGCAGGTAGCTGGCAAGTGAGGAGGGTTAAGTGGCCACAGGGAGATGCTCTTCAGCATCTATAGCAGTGGCATCACTAAGGAGCACAGGAGAGGGGTGTAGACCACATCAGGTGACACTGTATGAGGGATGACTCAAAATGATTGTCTGTAGAGTTTTTGTGCAGTGTTTTGATAGAAATAGATTTTTATAAAAAAATTTCTGAATTTAGCTAAAACCAAAACATTTTTTATAAACCCAGTTTAACCCAAAACCCAAACCACTGCCATCAAGTTGGTTGTGATTCACAGAGCACTGCATTGGCTCCCTAGGTGCTAAGTGAATGTGAGGACTGCCAGGCTTGCTCCTCTGGGGCATCTGGTGGGTTTGCACTCACCTTTTGGTTAGCATTCTAGACTCAGAGCTCTTTAATACACCTGTATGGCTGTAGTTATCTACTGAAGCCACATTGGTAAACGGGACATTAGTCGACTACAGAGTCAGCTACAGAATGCTCTTGGTTACATGTTTTGGTTCTTGCTGCACCCTTGAGAGCAAGCCCCACTTGGTACCCAGAAGATGTTATGCCACTTTCTCAAGGCTCCACATATCTCTGCAGGATGTCAGAGTCAAGCAGTCAGGGTAGTGTTTCTGCATCACAAGGGTCATCCAGATGTCTGGATCATCATGATGACCTCTGAGAATGATGACTGGTGGCACTAGGTTGCTGAAGTGCTGAATTAATTTACTTTTTTAAAAAGAAAATTTTAACTAATATTTACAGAGTGGTTAGGTTTTCATTCACTCATTGTTACAGACTTTCCTTTCTGCCTAGTCCACTTTGCAATGAACCTTTTGTTCCAGGTTGTTATCATACATATAATACCTAATTACATATTCTTTTCAGACAGTTCTCCCCCACATCTGTTTGAATGCAGTGTTCATGATCTATCCTTATTTACTTTTTTTTAACTTCTAGTGCCCTTCAGGCAGAGCTGTCATTATTCGTTGCAATGACACTTCAAATCACAGACTTTTTTTGTGCAGAAAGTCCATGCAGAACCATTGCTATCATTGCCCCTGGCACTGATTTGTAGAGCATTGTGTTCCTTAGTTACAATGTTGTGGTACTTAGTATTTATGAACCTTTATCAACATTTTGAGAATGAAATAAAAAAGAACAAGAAGAAAAGTCACAAAAGGTTTCTGCTTAGTTACTGATAATGTTGTAGCCAATAATGTGGTAACTGAAAGTAGAAATATGTTATAAAATAGGAAATATTACATTTTAGCAATTTGTGACAGTAGTTATCACATTTTCTCTAAGATTTAGATTGATAATCAACATTACTAAGGATTCTGGATGACCTGATCTGGGAAAAGGGTGGTGTGGAAATAACTGAGACATGATACTGACGTTAGTGATGAATGGACCCACAGCTGCTTTATCAGCTCTGTTCCTGAGAGCCAAGGTCATGGCCCATCCTGAGATAGAGCCTGAGCAAGGCCATGAATAGCAGGCCATGAAGATGCCTATCAGAAGGAGCAGAGGGCAGTGAGCCACGGAAAAGGTGTGGCTCACTGGGCCTGCTCTCTGTCCCTTCTGGTGCTGGCAGGAAAGGGGCAGGCATGGAAAGCCATATACGAGCTGCTGTCACCTTCCCTCCGCCACACTCCCAGGAGGAACTGCTGCCGCAGAGTCACTGGACTCCACCCTACATTTTCTTCACTAAGGATGGTCCCCCTGCGAGTGTGTGTATGTGGAGTCCAGGGACAGTGCTGAGCCTGGAACTCAGGCTTTCATTGGCTGTGGCCTTGAAGCAGCAGGAGCTGGAATGTCTGACTCACATAGCATGTGTGGGTGGTGGGGGTGCCCTTCTGCTAGCTCAGCTTTGGGGAACGGGAAAATGGGAGGCTGCACCACCTTTCCTAAGAGGCCCATCCAAGGGGAGACACAGAGAGGAAGGGAACAGTGGAAGGTTAGCAGAGTGGTGGATCATTAACCAGTTGTGGGCTGGGAAGGTGCACTTATTGGTCCTCACCTAGTCAGCCGAGGGTTGTCATTGGGGAGGGGCCTGCTTAATGTGTGTTCCAGGAGTTGGTCCAAGGCTCAGCCTGCATCAGGCTCTACACCTGGCCCCACAGGCCTCCGCCCAGAGCTGGGATGGCTGAGGTTGGCTGGAGGTGCTGGCTGCTCTACATCTTACTCCTGCAGTTGGTGAGTGCTCACAGCCTGTGCCCATGGCCACCACCCTCATTGTGAGCTTTGAGGATCAGCTGGTAGGTTCCAGTCCCCTAGAGAAGAGAGCAGAGGAAGGGCATAGCTGGCTGCCTCCTAACTTTCTGGGTCAGGAAGTTGAACCACCACAGAGACCAGGGAAAGGCAAGCCTCTGCACTGGGAGGTGGCTTGTCTTTGGACCCAGAACTGCCTCATCTCTGATTCTGAAGTGGGTGTCATCAAGTCTTGGGGAGCAGATGCAGATGCAGGAGGAGGGGTCCAGTCTTTTTTTTTTTTTAATTAGTGTTTTTTTTTTAAATGTTTATTTTATTTTATTATTTTTGTGTGAGTGTACCGTCAAATCAGATCTGACTGGTACAGGAGGAGATTGTCCCTCCTTCCCCGGCAGAGCATCTGGTGGATTCGAACTGTGCGCCTCTGGGATTGTAGTTGCAGCTCCTTGCCACTAGGCCACCAGAGCTCCCCAGGGGGTCCAGTCTTGGTAGAGTGTGGTGTGGGGGACTCTGAGGACTGGGCATCCTGGAGTCTGGGAGAGGTCATGGAGCTTCTTAAATGCCTCCTCGGTGGACAGCCTGTCACACATCCTGTCTCTTCCCCGACGCCCGACACTCAGCAGGCCCAGTGACACCCCCTGTTCTGCAGGTCCAGGCAGAGCTGTACACACCTTTCCATGAGTCTGGTGTCTGTGCCTTCTATGGCGACTGTGGGAAGAACCCTGAGCTATCTGGGAGTCTGCTACCACTGTCCAATGTCTCATGCCTGGCCAATGAACCTGCCCGCCACGTCACTGGCGAGCACCTGGCCCTCCTGCAGCGCGTGTGCCCACGCCTCTACACTGGCCCAGACACCACCTATGCCTGCTGCTCGGCCCAGCAGCTGGAGGCGCTGGAAAGGAGCCTGGCTGTCACCAAAGCGCTTCTCACGCGCTGCCCTGCCTGTTCTGACAACTTTGTCAGCCTGCACTGTCAAAATACCTGCAGTCCCAACCAGAGCCTCTTCATCAACGTGACCCGCGTTTCCCAGCCGCCCAGTGGACAGCCTCAAGCGGTGCTGGCCTTCCAGGCCTTCTATGAGCGCAGCTTCGCTGAGCGAGCCTACAACTCCTGCAGCAGTGTGCGTATCCCTGCAGCAGCCACACTGGCCGTGGGAGCCATGTGCGGGGTGTATGGCTCTGCCCTGTGCAACGCCCAGCGCTGGCTCAACTACCAGGGAGACACCAGCAATGGTTTAGCCCCACTGGACATAGCCTTCCATCTTGGGGATGCCAGCCAGCCTCCTGGTTATGGGATCCAGTTTCTCAATGCGGAGATTGTGGGCTGCAATGAGTCACAGGGCAGCGACGCTGTGGCTTGCTCCTGCCAGGACTGTGCAACATCGTGCCCCACCATCCCCCGCCCACAGGCCCTGGACTCCACCTTCCGCCTAGGCTGGATGGAGGGAGTTCTGGCCCTCGTGATCATTCTCTGCTCAGTCTTTGCTGTCCTCATCACCTTTCTTGTGTCACCCTGGCTGGCCTGTCACAGGGACAAGGTCAAAACCGTGGACTCTCCCATGCACATAAGTTTCTTTGACAGACTCAGTCTCACCACTCACAAGCTCCTGGGAAGTTTCTTCCAGTCCTGGGGTACATGGGTGGCCTCATGGCCTCTGACTGTCCTGGTGGTGTCCATTGTAGTGGTGGTGGCTTTGGCAGGGGGCTTGGTCTTCACGGAACTCACCACAGACCCGGTGGAGCTGTGGTCAGCCCCTAGCAGCCAGGCCCGGTGGGAGAAGGAGTTCCACGACCAGCATTTTGGCCCTTTCTTTCGCACGAACCAGGTATTTCTGACTGCACCTGCCCGGGCCAGCTATGGCTACAACTCCCCGCTGCTGGGGCTCAAGAACTTCAGTGGGGTCCTGGCACCTGACCTGCTGCTGGAGCTGCTGGAGCTGCAGGAGCGGCTGCGGCATCTGCAGGTTTGGTCCTCCCAGGAGCAGCGCAACATCTCACTGCAGGATATCTGCTATGCCCCACTCAACCCTCACAATACCAGCCTGTCCGACTGCTGCATCAACAGCCTGCTGCAGTACTTCCAGAGCAACCGGTCTCACCTGCTGCTTACTGCCAACCAGACCCTCATGGGGCAGACATCCCAGGTTGACTGGAAGGACCACTTTCTCTACTGTGTCAAGTAAGTTTTCAAGTGAGAAAGCCAAGGGGCTGCCAAGCACCTCTGACCAGGGAACTCCCAGGGACCCTGGGGGAGGACACAGGTCAGCCACAGGTTCCAGTACTGTCTCCCTCCTCCTCCCAGAGGTGGCTGCTATGCCCTCATCTTTCCTGGTACCTTCCTAACCCCGCCCCCCTTCTTCATCGAGCTCGTCCTCAGGAGGCCACTTTGCGACATTTCCTTCCTCGGAAGGAGGTGTCTCTCCTGTCTTGCCTTAAGTCTTTGAGAATTGGAAGGAGACAGTTCAGGTTCCAGTTTGCTAGGCCATTGCTGTAAGCTGCAGGCCTTTGGGGCCTGCACAGTGTTGTGACTAGAACAGCAGTCTAAGCAAGCCCTGGCTGTGCCCATGCCCCTCTTATGAGATGGCTGGGCATCCTAAGTGAGTCTGGCCCACACATCCTCACCTTGGTGGGAGGTAGGCCCCTGGCTTCATCCTGCTGAGGGGGCACAAACAGAAAGTGTGGTGCTTGCTGAGAATAGGATGGCAGCCACTGGGCTGTCTGGTGTTGAAGTAGAGCAGTGACTCTCAAATGGTTTTGGTCTCAAGGCCTCTTTACACTCTTAACAATTATTGACAGCTCCTAAGAGCTCCTGTTAATGCAGGTCATATCTCTCAGCAGTCACCATCCAAGAAATGAAGCCAATAAAAATTTAAAATACAATTATTAATTCTTTTTAAAACAACATGGTGATATATGGCATGTTTTAATGAAATATATGTTTTCCAAAACAAACAAAAATAGGAGTGTACACTTTTATCTTTTTGCAAATCTTTCTAATATCTAGCTTAATACAAAACAGCTTCATTTTCAGAACTGATTACATATCCAGTCTGTGGCAACAGGGTAGTAGGATTATGTTGAGATGATCTGGCCTTATCTACATATAAGGTTGGAAAAGGGAGGGATGTTTTCATAATCATTCTCTAAAATGTGGATATTCTTTGATGCGACACCAAACTCAGCAAGTGGCTTTTTCTTAAATGCTAGTTGCAGTCTGAAATATGAAACCACAGTCAATGAAAAGATTATAAGAAACAGAAGGGGAGAGTGAAAAAGGAAAAGATTATCTTAGTGTTACTTTGAATGTTTCTGCCCTGTACTGTCCATCTCTCAGCTTTCCCAAAGTATGGACAGGGTCTGCCTGTTGGTGTTACCAGGAGAAGAGGGATGATGTGCTAAGGTTTTAGAGGTCCTGGGGACTCTGGTGGCCCTGTTCCCAGATTCACATCTGCTCTGTGGTTTCCTCAATGCTATATTTATTTTTAATTCCTCTAACTCTGAGTGGTTTGCTTTCCTTGTTCAAAAAAGAGAAAATGGAGGTATAGAATGGGAATGTCAGTTGCTCAGGTAGGCACACAGCCAGTCCCTCTGGTTGGCCGAGGGCAGATAGAGCTTTCCATGTGCATGTCCACTGCCTGCATGCACCAGTTCTCTGTACTAAATGTCTGGGGGGTAAGGCCATAAGAGACGTCACCCAAGGACATCTGCTAGTGATAGTGATGCTGGGATCCTCCTGTGCCCCAGAGCGGCTTGGTGTCCTGAGTGGCAGTATAAGTACCAGTCCTCAGGCCTTCTGGGATGTCTTGAGCGGTTCATCTGCAAATGTGAACAACAGCCTATAGAACTGACTGAGGATGAAGGAAGGGCTCAGTATTGTGGAAGCTCAAAGATTAGTTAGATTTTCATTCATTCATTGTTGCACATTTTAACCTCCCTCACCTTCCCTTTTCCCTCCCCCAGTTCACTTTTTTCTTCTCTTTTTAAAAAATTATTAATTTTAATGAAAGTTTACAGAGACTTTGGATTTCCATTCATTCATTGTTGTACTTTTCTCCCTGCCCACCCCTCACTCCAAGTTCACTGTTCTCTTTGAAAAGTAAAAGAAAAATTATTTAATTGTTTTACAATCCCTCCCCCAAGTCTACTCCACTATGCAGCCTTCATTCTGGACTCCTGTCATACAATAATACCTAATCATATATCACTTTGAAAAAAAAGTTCATTCATTGTTGCACAATTACCTACCTCTCCACCTCCAGTCCTCTTTGCAATGATATGTCTCTTTTTCTGGGCTGTTGTTGTACATATAGTGCTTAATCATATATTCCTTTTAGACAGTTCTTTCATCTGTTCCAATACAATGGTCATTATCCATCCACTCTTATCCTATTCTCCTCCCAACCCCCCATGTCAGACTTGCTTTATAACAGTGGTGTTATGCAGTATTTGTCCTTTTGTGACTGAGATATTTCACTCAAAATCATGTGCTTCGGGGTACCCCATTTTGTGTGATATTTTACAAGTTCATTGTTTTTCAGTGATGCATAGTATTCCACTGTATGAATATATCATACTTTTTCTATCCACTCATTTGTTGATAGACAAGACACTTGGGTTGCTTCCATCTCTTTGCTGTTGTAAATAATATAGCTATAAACATGCGTGTGCTTATATTTGTCTGGATGATGGTTATGGTTTCATTGGGGTATATTTCCAGTAGTGGAAATGGTATTTCTATTTCCAACTTTTTGAGAAAGTGCCTAACCACCTTCCATAGCTGTTGTACTATTTTACACTCCCACCAACAGTGAATAAGGGTTCCAATTTCTCCACAACCTCGCCAACATTTATTGTTTGTTGCTCTGTTGAACTTTGCTGTTGTTACTGGGGTGAGATAATATCTCATAGTTGTTTTGATTTGCATCTGTCTGATAGCTGGGGATCTTGAGCATTTCTTCATGTGTTTGTTTGTCATCTGAATGTCTTCTTTGGTGAAGTATCTAGTCATATCCTGTGACCACTTTGCTATTGGGTTGTTAACCTTTTTCTCATTGAGGTGCTGGAGTATTCTATGAATTTTAGATGAGTCACTTATCAGCTATGTCATTACCAAATATTTTTTTCCCAATCTGTGGCTTTCCTTTTTACCATGTTGGAGAAGTTTTTTTGATTCTTAGAAGATCTCATTCATCTATTTTTTTCTATCCTGGTTGTAGGTTTTTCATTATGCTTGGAAGACTCTTCATACTGTAGATTAGGACTTCCAAGCTTTTCTCTGAAGTTTATAGTCTTTGATTTTACTCCTAAGTCCTTGAAACCTTGAGTCTGTTTTTGTATATGGTGTGAAGTGTGGGTTAATCAGCTCTTTTAGAACTAAAAAAAATAAATGGTTATAAGTCCACCCTGCACTGACATGACTTAACGTAACAAAGAAAACCTTTTTCTCAAATTATTACATTCACAGAGAGAGACACAAATGGGTTGTAATTTCAACATGTGTTTTGTTGTTGTTGTTGTTGTTAGTGGCCTTTAGGTTCACTATGACTCACAGCAATCCTATAAACAAACAGATCAAAACCTTGCCTATCCTCAACCACCCTCATCATCTCTGAAGTGTTCAAGCCCATTGTTACAGGCTATGTCAATCCATCTTCTTGAAGGTCTTTCTCTCTTTCTCTAACCCTCCACCTTTCCCAGCATAATGTCTTTTTTCCAAGGCGGGTGCCTCCTGGCTGCCCTTCCTCTTGGACAATGTGTTTGTTTGTACTGAAAGACATCAATCCTTCTTCTGTCATCCTTACTTATTGTTCAGTTTTCAGATACATAAGAAGTTATTGAAAACACCATAGCTTGAACAAGCACATCTTTGTAAACTGACACTATTGCTCCTTAGCCCCTTGGAGAGGTCCTTGACAGCAGATTTTTCTCAGTACAAGTGTTGGGTTCTTGACTGCAGTTACTATGGGGGTTGATTGTGAATCCAAGTAAAATGAAATCATTAACAACTTAAATCTTTCCCCCATCTATTATGATGTTTCTTATTGGCCCAATGGTAGAGATTTTTGTCTTCTTGATGGTCAGATGTAATCCATATTAAAGGCTATATTCTTTGGTCTTTTACAACAAGGGTATTTTCCTTTCAGTAAGAAGGTTGGTTAATGCATTATGTTTAATGCATACTAGAGGTTATTGATGGGTCTTCCTCCAATCCTATTGTAACATTCTTCTTCATATAGTCCAATTTCTTGAATTGTTTGCTCAAAATACAGATTGAATTGTTGTTGTTAATATGTTGTCAAGTTGACTATGACCAACAGTTCTGAATTTTGCCTTAGCCTGACATCAGAAAGGATGTCCCTCATGCTACACGCTCTTCTGAATTCAGTTTGAATTTCTGGAAGTTCCCTGATATCTTAAAATAATTTTCAGTAAGATATTACTTGCATGTTCTAGTAATGATATTGTTTAATAATTTCCACATTCTGTGGAAATAGTCCCATATTTTTGAGCATGGAAACAAATATTGATTTCTTTCATTCAGCTGGCCAGGTAGCTGTCTTCCAAATTTATTGGCATAGACTAATGAGCACCAGGGAGCTCTGCTTGCTTAGTGGTAAGGAGCTGCTTTGCCAACCCAAAGGCCTGTGGTTCAAATCCACCCACTCTGCAGAAGAAAGATTAACAATCTTCTTTTGTGTGATATACTGCCTCTGAAACCCACTGGAGTGTCAGCTATGAGTTGATAACTGACTTGATGGTACTGTATGTACAACATTCAGCACTTTCAGGGCTGCATTTGTTTACTGGAACATGTCACTTAGTGTTTCATCAATTCCTAGGGCCTTATTTTTGGCTAATGCCTTCAGTGCAGTTTGTATTTCTTCTTTCAGTATCATTGGTTCTTGATCATATTTTACTTCCTGAAATGGTTTAGTGTTGACCAATTCTTTCTGGTACAATGACTCTGTATTCCTACCATCTTCTTTTGATGTTTCTTGTGTCATTCAAGAGTTTGGTGATAAAATCTTTCAGTATTGCATCTCTATGCTTTAATTTGTTCTTCTGTTCCATTAGCTTGAGAAATGCCAAATAAGTTCTTCCCTTTTGGTTTTGTAACTTCATCTTTTTGCACATTTAATTATAATACTTTGGGTTTTGGGCTACCCTTTAAAGTCTTCTATTTATCTCTTTAGCATTTCTTTTCTAATTTTGACCTCTGTACATTTTTGTGCCAGTTTCAGTGTCTCTTGACATCCATTTCACTATTTTTCCTCCTCTTTTTGTAATGACCTTTTGCTTTCTTCATGGATGTTATTCTTGATGTCATCCCACAACTCATCGGGTGTTCAGTCATTACTGTTTACGGCATCAGATCTATTTTTTTTAAATTAACAAATTGTAATTATTTTCTGAAAGGTACCTTTGCTCCTACCCTTCATCCACTAAACTATTCTTGAGATACTTTAAAAATTAATGTAAAAATGTAAAGTCAAGGCTGTATTTTTGTCTTATGGATTTTTCTTCATTTTCTTCATCTTCACTTTAACCTTGCACTCTAGTAATTGGTGACCTGTTCCACAGATAACTCCTGGCCTGTCTTTGACTGCTCATATAGAGCTTCTCCATTGGCTTTTTCCATAGATATAATAGATTTCATGCCTGTGTAGTCTATTAGGTGAGGTCTATGTGTATTGTCATCATTTATGATTTTTAAAAACAATATTTACAGTGAACTACTTTCATAAATGAATGATTTAATTGATTGTACAAAATTCTATCATGGGATCTTGAGCCTCATTTTTGTTCTTATTTTCCAACTACATTCCAGTCATTGTTATTATTAATGCATCTTGGTTGCTTGTTTGAGCAATTTCAGACTGTAAAATTTGAAAGAAGTACTCAGTTTCTTCATCTTTGGCTTTAGTGGCTGTTTGTATATCAGACCGTCATATTATCATATGCCAGGAATGACACATTTAAGAAGGGTGGTGTTGCATTAATAATAAAAAATAACTTTTCAAGATCTTTCCAGAAATATAAAGCTGTGAATAATAGGATATTATCACATAATTGTGAGGACACAATTCAGTCCATGACACAATTTTACTTGCTGTGGTTCTTCAGGATATTGTGTTTATAAAACTAGCTCAGTGTCTAGAGCCATTACTACCCCTTGACCAGGTTGTATGGCTGGCAGTGGGCTGGTTCTGTTGGCCAGGGTCCTGGAGCAGGCAGGGCACCATTCTCTCTATCTCTCCACAGCGCTCCCCTCACCTTCAATGATGGCACGGCCCTGGGTTTGAGCTGCATGGCTGACTATGGGGCTCCCATCTTTCCTTTCCTTGCAGTGGGGGGATACAAAGGTAAGGTGGCACCTCTGAGTTAGTCAAGGAGAGACAGGAGCCCTGGGGCAGCAGGTGGGATAGTGACAAGCTGTCTGCAGGTAGCCTGGCTGGGGTGAGCTAAGGTCACCTATTCCATTTGGTCTCCACATCTTCACTGTCTGGTAGCACTTTGCTCTGGCTTGGGCCTGAGTCCACAGGTCTTACCTGCAGTGGAAAGCCATTCAGGAGAGGAAGGTGAGGGGTGGGAGAAGGGGTGGAAGGCTGAGCAGGTTGGACCTCCTTGCTGAACATGTCTTTCCCAGGGAAGGACTATTCTGAGGCAGAGGCCCTGATCATGACCTTCTCCCTCAACAACTACCCCCCTGGCGACCCCCGGCTGGCCCAGGTTCGGCTCTGGGAGGCAGGGTTCCTGGAGGAAATGCGAGCCTTCCAGCAGCAGATGGCTGGCACCTTCCAGGTCACCTTCATGGCAGAGGTGAGCTCAGGCCCTGTGGCTGGAACATATCCCATGCAGCCTTCTCCACAGCCCTGACCTGGCCACTTCGTGGATGACCCTGGACAAGTGCTTGCACTGCTCTGTGTCTTCCTTTCAGGGCAGAATTGCCTAGGGTGTCCCTTACTGAGGGCTCCTCAGACTCAAGCCCAGGCCCTCAGCACAAGCACAAGTGATTAATGCTCATAACATCTGCGGATGTTCTGATGGTGACTTCCCTCCCCTTAGACCCATTCCCCTTCAGGCCATCAGTGGTTCCTTCTTTACCTCCCCTTCAGCCTCTTGATTTCTCCCTGAGGCCCTTCCTGCCACTCAATGTCTTGGAGAACCCACTGTCTTAACCACAACCTTCAGCCATCAAATTTGATGACTGTGTGTCCACAGCGCTCCCTGGAGGATGAGATCAACCGCACCACGGGGGAGGACTTGCCCATCTTTGCCATCAGCTACCTGGTCATTTTCCTGTATATCTCTCTGGCATTGGGCAACTACTCTAGCAGGCGTCGAGTGCTGGTGAGCAGTGACTGGGGTTTGGAGGAACATGCAGTGGCCTTCTGTTCATGCTGGCAAGACAAAGTGGCCCCAGGGCCCTGGGGGACCTTCTTGGGTTCTCAACATTACTAACTTCTTGTTATTGTATACCCTCGAGTCAGAACAAACACATAGGTGACCTTCCAGTGGGTTTTGAGAGGCAATGAATCGTATGGGAGGAGATTGCCTGTGCTTCTCTCTCAGAGCAGCTGGCAGATTTGAACCTCGTACCTTTGGGATTTCAATGCAGTTTCTTATTGCTAGAGCTAGCACACCCAAACATAGAGCAAAGTGGATGCACCCCCAAAGCCAAGGTGGCCCTCTGCTATTTCTTTGTGTTGCGTTTAAAAAGTCAGAAGATATTTTCTTTTTTTTTTTTTTTTAGAAGATGTTTTCATTTAGCTAGGTACATGACATATCCTGCTTGTTTAAATGCAAAAATCAACTTGTAGAGTTTCTCACGGTCACGGTGGAGTTTATTTAAGAGGGGGTATGGCTAAAGTCCTGCTTGGCCTGGGAGATCAGTTGCTGAGGGATAAGAAGAGCTTGGTGGCAGACACTCCACATGGCTGAGACACACATCCCTATCTTGCCAGCTCCTCCCCAACAGGGGCCCTGAGCTCTGCAGGGTGTCCTTCAGGTGGGCACACCAGGCCCCTCCTGCCAGCTCCTCCTCTAACAGGGGAGCCCTGGGTTCTGCAGGGTGTCCTCATGGTGGCAGGAGGCTGAGCCCTCATTCCATCACAGGTGGACTCCAAGGCCGTGCTGGGCATAGGCGGGGTGACGGTGGTGCTGGGAGCTGTCATGGCTGCCATGGGCTTCTTCTCCTACCTGGGTGTTCCCTCCTCTTTGGTCATCCTCCAAGTTGTGCCTTTCCTGGTGCTTGCTGTGGGTGCTGACAATATCTTCATCTTCGTTCTTGAGTACCAGGTAAGACAGGAAGGTGCTCTGCTGCCAGACCCAAGCCCAGGCCGGTGTGCTGGGCATTCTGATGGACACACATGTGTAGTGTCAACAGAAAGCAGAGCCCTTGGGGCATGGTGCTTGCTGTGGGTGCTGACAATATCTTCATCTTCGTTCTTGAGTACCAGGTAAGACAGGAAGGTGCTCTGCTGCCAGACCCAAGCCCAGGCCGGTGTGCTGGGCATTCTGATGGACACACATGTGTAGTGTCAACAGAAAGCAGAGCCCTTGGGGCACAGTGGGTAACACGTTTGGCTGCTAACCAAGAGGTTGGCGGTTTCATTTTACCCAGAGTTGCACTGGAAGAAAGATTTGGCAGGTTCCAGGATGGCCAGCAGTGGAAGACCCCATGGTGCACTGTTCTGTGAGACACATGATCCCATGGGGCACCGTTCTGTGGAATGCACTTGGGCTGACCTGAAGCAGTCAGCTTCCCAGAAAGTGGTGTTTGTGTCTGACATGCGGGGAGTCATACTGCTTCATGTATACACTGCCAGTGGTGCCCCAGCATGGTGAACTGGTGTCTTGATCCTTGCTGACTGATTCCTTCATGTCTGACCCTGCAATCCCTGTGCCACATAGTTAGTTGGTGGGTAGGCAGCAGTGCCTTCTAGGAAGGCTAAAGGGCAGTCTTGCACCTGTGTGGTCTCTGAACAGTGGCCATTCCTGGAATTTCCTCATGGCAATTATGAGCTCCTTATGACTGGACTGGAAGACAGCGTGCCCTTACTGTGGGGGACCTCTCCCTCTGTTTCCACACAGAGGCTGCCGAGGGAGCCTGGGGAGCGGCGGGAAGCGCACATTGGCCGGGCCCTGGGCAGTGTGGCCCCCAGCATGCTGCTTTGCAGCCTCTCTGAGGCCATCTGCTTCTTCTTAGGTGAGAGATTGTGTCCTTACCCACAGGCTAGTCCCTGCCCCCTGCCTGTCTGTGCAGACCTCTCCACTGAAGTTGGCATCTTGACGCCTCTGCCCCCACAGGGGCGCTGACCCCAATGCCTGCTGTGAGGACTTTTGCCCTGACCTCTGGCCTGGCAGTGGTGCTCGACTTCCTGCTTCAGATGTCCACCTTTGTGGCCTTGCTTTCCCTGGACAGCAGGAGGCAGGAGGTGGGACAGGCTTGGGCCCAGGGTCGGTGTAGCCTTACTTCAGCCAAAATGACTCAGAGGAAGAAGCCTTGTGTTGGGAGGAGGATATTGGGGCCTTTGCACTCCCAGTTTCCCGTAGGATAGTGATTTTGTTTAAACCATTTCTGTAAACACATTAGAACCTCAATAGACCTCTCTAAGGGTAAGAGAAGGTGAGAGGTAGCTGTCTGTGCTGGTGTGAAAGTCACCGACCTGAAGGTCCACCTCCTCCAGGCCTCCTACCTGGATGTCTGCTGCTGCTTCAAGGCTGGAAAGACCCCACCTCCCAGCCCGAGGGAAGGGCTCTTGCTCAGATTCTTCCACAAGGTCTATGCACCAGTGTTGCTGCACCGAGTCACCCGTGTGCTTGTGGTAAGTTGGGAGGCTGGGCCCCAGGGATGGCTCCTGAGCCTTTAACCCAGCCTTCCCACTGCGGAGGCAGGCTTCAGTGAGGAAGGAGACTACCTGGACAGGGACTGATCAGTGCAGAGCCTGTCCCTGCAGACCAGGGGAGGTTTGGGGCCGGGGGCAGGGCACAGCCATGGGACTTTGCCTGCTCCTTCCCCAGCTGGTGCTGTTCCTGGCCCTATTTGGAGTGGGACTTTACTTCATGTGCCACCTCAGCGTAGGCCTTGACCAGGAGCTGGCCCTGCCCAAGGTGAGACCTTCTGTTGGGGTTGCTGCATGGCTGGTGCTTGGAGGCACTCCTAGGATCATGGGGAGCGAGATTGAGTTAGGTGGGACAAGTGCAGGTGCTAAAAGATCAGCACAGGTCAAAGATAAGAAGTGGCCTAGGCTTCCCAGTAACAGACAGACAGCAATTCCAGCATGGGCTGTCCAAGCTATCAGCCACACGAGGACTAAGAAATGATTGCATTGATGTACACACCATCCAGGATATACCTGGACTGTATTACCCTGGTCAACTCCAAGCACTCTGGGCCCAAGGCTTTGTGTTCTAGGCAAGCCTGTGAGGGTAGGGAGTATCTTGTGTGAAAGGTGGGAGACTCTGAGGGTAGAGAAGTTCAACCCCTTGTACAGGATGCCTGCCTAGGAGTCCTCAGCACTGGGGTACCATCTTGCTAGGCTTTCGGGCCTATGGGGCAGTGGTTGTCAAGGAAGAGAGAGGTAGGCCAGCAAGGGTAGGGTCCATAGGACCACACAAAACCAAAGTGCTGACCAGTAATCATGGGAGGGTGGGGGAAGGACAGACCTGCAGTGGAGGCTGCTGAACCAGGAGAGAAGAGATTGGATGTAGATGATGGGACTTAGGAGCTTTGTGGATATACTGTGGAAGAGACAGGCCCAGGCATGGCTACAGTGAGCTGGCGCAGCTACGGGATGCTTTAGTGGTGCTGGTCCATGTCTTGAAGAGATCAGACAAATAACTTTTGCATTATCCAGAGAGTGAAGAGGAAAGAAGCCAGCCACCTAGGTGACCAATGAAAGTGCTAGTCTTGTGTGTTAGCTGAGTGAGCAGAGAACCTCTGAGTGTTGATGTGTGAAGGGGCACAGGCTGGTTGCAGAGTATGATTGCTGAGTCAGGTAGGAGGAAGTGGTGCATGTATGTGCTCATATCGGCTGGAATGTACTGCCTCTGTGTTTGCACTTTAGGAGTGTACCTGTATGCAGGTACCTTTCTGTGCATATGCCTATGGTGTGTGTATATGTATTTACCTGTGTACATATATTTGTATGTGTGTGTATACATGTGTATACCTGTGTGCATGTTTCTGTGTGTATGTATGTGTCTATCTGTGTGTGCGTGTGTACTTGTGTGTATGTATTTGTACTTGTACCTGTGTGAATGTATGTGTTTGCATGCATCTGTATGCATGTGTGCATATAAGCATATATGTGTCAATGTATCTCTGTGTAAACCAGTGTGCATGTATCTGTATGCACATGTGTGTATAGATATGACTGTGTATACCTGCATTTGTATCTATATGTATGTGTGTATTAGCATGCATGTGTGTGTACTTTGCGCATGTATATGCATGTGTAACTGTAAGCATACAACCTCTTTGTTGGTTCCTGTACATATGCACCTCTGTGTATGCCTCTGTGTGTATTATATATCTATGGCTATGTTGTAGCTATACCTGTCTGTACACACTTCTATGACCTGTTTAGGCTAAATCTATCTGCCCTATGTCCCCAGGACTCTTACCTGCTTGACTACTTCCTCTTTCTAAACCGCTACTTTGAGGTGGGAGCCCCAGTCTACTTTGTCACCACTGCGGGCTACAACTTCTCAAGCAAGGCTGGCATGAATGGCATCTGCTCCAGCGCAGGCTGTGACAGCTACTCCTTAGCCCAGAAGATTCAGTACGCCTCTGAGTTTCCTGAGCAGTGAGTGACAGTCTGATTCAGCCTTTCCCCTAGTCCATCTGTCCTTTCCCACAATTAATAAGCTTATTCTGGTGCTGGGGAGGCCTGAGTGGGAGGCTGGCACTGAAGGGACACCTCTACTATCTGACCGGACCCACTTGATCTCTTTGCTGACTCTTCTCTTTTTGCTCCTCAGGTCTTATTTGGCCATACCGGCTTCCTCCTGGGTGGATGACTTCATAGACTGGTTGACACCATCCTCCTCTTGCTGCCGTCTTTATACCTCTGGCCCCAATAAGGATGAATTCTGTCCCTCGACCATCAGTGAGCACTGGACCTAGAGGTCCTCCTTGTCTACCTCAGCTTCAAGAGACTGAGGTGCAAGGAGCAATTGTTGAAAGGAGGAATGGTTAGGCTTCCGTTGTCCCCTATCCTTTTCCCTTCCTGTCACAGGCTAGAAACTCAAGGGAGTTTTACGTGGGGAATATGTGCAGACCCATGGACACACAAATGACAGACTGCTGTAGTCAGGTGGGGCTTGAAGGGGGCCCTGGCAGCTGCCTTGTGGGTGGTAAAGTACCCTATGTGGTCTGCCCCGATTGCCTTCCTTAACTGACCAGAAACTCAGTTACTGCCATCGAGTTTATTGCACTGGATTTCCAAGGCTGTAACTCTTAATAAGAGAGACTGCACATCTCCCTCCCTCAGAGCTGCTGGTGGATTTGGGTTAGCAGTGGAACACAGTATGAACAGCGCCCCTAGAGCTCTATTACCTGTCCATGGGTGCCTGCAATTTCTGTTTATGGAGGGACTTGCTCTCCCCAGTTTTATTGTTGGGTGCCCTCGAGTCAGTTCTGACTCCCAGTGACCCCAGGTGACAGAGCAGGGCTTTTGGGATTGTGATCTCGGGAAGTACAGTACCAGCATGGCATTGAACTGACAGCTTTTCCATTAGCAGCCAGGTGAGCTGGCATCTCTCCAGTTAGTGAAGACAAATTTCTCTGGAAGGAGTACCTGGCCTGACATTATTCTCTGGTGATGTGAATAATGAGGGCAGGCCCTCAGAGGAGGGTGACAAGGATTGGATGGGGTGGAGTCCCACACAGGGACCTGCCATATGTCCTAGCCTGCCTCTCTTCCCCAGGTTCCTTGCATTGTCTCAAAAGCTGCATAGGCCTTACCCTGGGTCCTGTCCGACCCTCTGAGGAACAGTTTAACAAGTACCTTCCATGGTTCTTGAGTGACACACCCAATAACAAGTGTCCCAAAGGGTAGGTGGAGCTGGCCTTGGGTGAGGGGCACGTGTGAACTCTAAGGTGGGGGTGGATGTGAAAAGGGAGAGATCTTGCCTTGGCTCAACTTCACCCCGACATTCTCCTGAGGGTGGGGTTGGATGTGAAGGTGGGAGGGGGTGCTGTCCTGGCTCTGCCTCAGCTTTCTTCTGAGAGTGGGAAGGATGTGAACATAGGAAGGGTCCTTCCTGTTCTGGCTCAGCCTCACCTTACCATTGTCCAACAGAGGCCTGGCTGCTTACAGCACTTCTGTGAACTGGGGTCCAGATGGCAAGATTTTAGGTGAGTGCGGCTGAGCCAGGAACCCCAGGTGCCTATGACATACACTCCCTCTCTCAGATCTCTTTCCTGCTTACCAGGGTGCCTCTCACTGCCTCATTTCTCAAGGCTTAGACTTCCGGCCTGCACCCCTACTGCCTCCTCCTGCCTCAGTCAAATCAGTTTTAAGTTCATGGCATGCTTTCAGCAGCTGGCCCAGATTCTGGAGTCACTTGCACCCATGCCCCTCATCCCTTCTTTTTGTGCATGGATCACCCCTGCTTATCAGTGGTGGGTCACCAGCCAAACCATGTGTAGCAGGATGAAGCACAGGCAGGAACAACACAAGTAGTAGCTTGGACTGAGAATAGAATGCCAAGATGTGCCACCAACTAATCCTAGGTTACTAGGCAGCATGGCTGTGGTGTGCCAGGAGCTGGCCACAGCACCACTCACACAGCTTCCTGTGTGCAGCAAAGCATTTTCCTTCTGTACTGAAATAATCTCTGGGTTATCATCAGCATGCATTACCTTTTTTTTTAATTGTTGTTGTTGTTATGTGCTGTCGAGTCGTTTGCGACTCATAGCGACCTTATGTACAACAGCCCTAAACCCTGCTCTATCCTGTGCCAATCGCATTGCCTCTGACACACCCATTAGCAAAAGGAAATTGGAAAACATTGTGACTTCTTTTTTTTAGTTTTTTTTAAAATTATTTATTTATTTATTATTAATTTCAATGAAAATTTACAGAGACTTTGGATTTCCATTCATTCATTGTTGCATTTTTCTCCCCTCCCAACCCTCCCCGCTAGTACACTACACTCTTGGAAAAGTAAAAAAAAAAAAATCTTTCATTGTTTTACAAAACCTCCCCCCAGGTCCACTCCACTATACAGCCTTCACTCTGGACTCCTCTCATGACAAAAATACCTAATAATTTTCCTTCCTAAACAGTTTTCACCCTCATTTGTTTTAATGCAGTATACATTATTGAACCCATCCTTCTCAGTCTCCTCCCAACCCCGAGGTCAGTCCTGCTTTACAACAGTGGCACCATGCAGTATTTGTTATTTTGTGACTGAGATACTTCACTCAGCATAATATCGTCCAGGGTCACCCCTTTTGAATAATATTGCATGAGTTCCTTGTTTTTCAATGCAGCATAGCATTCCATTGTGTGAATATACCACAGCTTCTCTATCCATTCATTTGTTGATGGGCACTTAGGTTGTTTCCAGCTTCTTGCTATTGTGAACAAAGCTGTGATAAACATGGGTGTGCAAGCATGCATTACTTTTAAGAAAACAAAGAAACTAAAAACCACTTTACCTACCCTCTTACCTATACCATTTTCCAGAGAGGGCACTTTTTATCTCATCCTTATCCATCTTGTAAGGATGCCCTATCCTGTGCAGCCTTCCACCCTTACTGTGTCCATGGCCTGTAACCAGTATGAACTTCTGGTAGGGACAAAAGGAGTGAGGGTATGGGGTCTGCAGGCAGGAGCACAGATCATAAACTGAGCCTCAACTTTGCCTTACATATCCTGGACAGGCCTCTGCCCATCTCTGCCCCTGATCCTTTCACATGCATGTGAACATTGATTCCCAAGGTGTAGTCCCATGACCAGTGACAAGAGTATTAGATGACAGCTATTAGAAATGCAGATTCTTAGTCTCCACTGGGTATTGGGCTCTAGATCTCAGTAGCTGGCCCAGTACCTATGCTTGGACAGTCGGGCTTTGTGTGCTGGGCCTGGGCACTGCCTGACCTTTTCTCCTCTAAGGTTGTATCCATTTAAAAATGTTTCTTTCAACTGGAGGTGGGGGGAGGGCTGGGCAGGGAGAGAAGTGCAGCAATGAATGAATGGAAATCCAAAATCTCTGTAAATGTTCATTAAAATTATTAAAATACAATTTTAAAAAAGAATGTTTCTTTCTTTTGACTTCCTCCAGTGAAAGTAGCTATATTATTCATCTTACTGATATGCATCATCCTCATTATAAACAATTAAAAGTCCTCTTAATTGCGGCTGTCAGGAATCCTAGTCTACAATTTCACAGCTCTACAGTGCAAGTCTCCACGTATTTCTGCGACTTTTTGGTCTTTTTATACAGGGCTACATATTTGAAAAGCAACCATAGTGAATGGATTTTTACAGTCAGATGTTTGATTTGAAGCTACTAAGAGAGAGTCCCTTAGGATGATTGCTTAGGATCAGGACTAGCCTCTGACCTCACCTTGCAAGAATATCAACTGCACAATCTTCTGGTCAAGGGCAGGATGAAATGTAGCGGCTGGATGGAGTAGGAAGAGTACCCTGATTCAACATTAAGAATTTCAAAAGGATTAATTCCATTCTAAGCCTGCAGCGTGTCCCAAGCATTCAGAAGCCAGAACAATCTTTGGTGGAGGCTGAAGCTGCTCTGTAGCAGGATCTGACCTTGGTTTTCTCTCCTCTCCCTGATTCTTGTCATGCCCAGCATCCCGGTTCATGGCCTACCACAAGCCCCTGAAGAACTCCCAGGACTTCACGGAAGCTCTGCGGGCAGCTCGAGCCCTAGCCGCCAACATTACTGCCAGCCTTCGGGAGATTCCCGGGACAGACCCAGCCTTTGAAGTCTTCCCCTATACGTAAGGCCCTGAGCATCTGGAGCCCAGGGAAGAGAGAGGTCACTTGCCTGAGACTCCAGTTTGGGGATGTAGAGTTGCAGGGAAGCTGAGCCCAAGAGCCAGGCTAAAAGTGACAGCTGGGGCTATGTTCTGGCTTGTCAGTTCCTCAGCTGGGAGCCTCTCTGAGCCTGGATCTTTAAAGTAGGAGCATCCTGCCTTCTTTACAAAGTGTTGAGAGATCAAACGACAGATGATTGTGACAGTGTCTTGTCAACCACAGGATCACCAACGTGTTTTATGAGCAGTATCTGACTGTCGTGCCTGAGGGCCTCTTCATGCTGAGCCTGTGCCTCTTGCCCACCTTTGTCGTCTGCTGCCTTTTACTGGGCATGGACCTCCGTTCTGGCCTCATCAACCTCTTCTCTATCATCATGATTCTTGTGGACACCGTTGGCTTTATGGCACTTTGGGGCATCACCTATAATGCTGTTTCCCTTATCAACCTGGTCACGGTAACTCCCTAGATGTGGGCTGGCAGTTCAGGGTAGAGTGGCTCTTGGAATGTTGCCAGTTCCTTTGTTTCTAAGGGAAGGTCTCAGCGCTTTCACTTGTTCCTCCACCTGCATGCAGTCTCCAACTTTTACAATGAAAGCCTCCTCTGCCTGCAGGCTGTGGGCATTTCAGTGGAGTTTGTGTCCCACATTACCCGCTCCTTTGCCATCAGCACCAAGCCCACACGACTAGAAAGGGCCAAGGAGGCTACAGTCACCATGGGCAGTGCGGTGAGTTGGGCAAGGCGTCTGATCCACAGACCATGGTGGGGGTTCCCTGGCCCCAGCCTAATACCTGACTGTGATGCCTAGGTCTTTGCTGGCGTGGCCATGACCAACTTGCCTGGCATCCTAGTTCTGGGCCTTGCTAAGTCCCAGCTCATCCAGATCTTCTTCTTCCGCCTCAACTTACTGATCACTCTCCTGGGCCTGCTGCATGGCCTCGTCTTTCTGCCTGTGGTCCTCAGCTACCTGGGTGAGTGCCTACCCCCATGTGCTTGTTCTTGCCCCTGCTGGCCAGAGCTCATTGGCTCCCTGCTATGCACCATGGTAGCTGTTATGAGGGCCACAAAGAGGATGGTGCTTGCTCTGGACAGGGCAGCCACATAACGTGTCAGGGACCAACACATAGACATTCAGATCACTTGTTCATGTGACTGCTTCTAGCACAGTTGTTTTTTTTTTTGGTTTTTTTTTTGTTGTTTTTTTTTTAATTTTGTGTACGTGTACTGTCAAATCAGGTCTGACTGGTACAGGAGGATATTGCGCCTCCTTCTCCGGCAGAGCGTCTGGTGGATTCGAACCGTGTTCCTCTGGGATTGCAGTGCAGTTTCTTGCCACTAGGCCACCAGAGCTCCCCGGCCAGTTTTTGCTTTTGTATACTTGCGTGTTTCTCTCTCTTTTTTAAAAAAATAAAAATATAAGTACTTTCTTTTCTGAAAGCCTCTCCTTAAACTTCCTGAATAATGATTATCTTGTCAACAGTGTGTCTCAAGTTTGGCTGTGTGCAGACCTGTGTCACACATGCGTGTCTGTGCTTTACAGTGTGTGTTTGGCTGTGTGCAAGCATGTGTCCCCCATGCCTGTCTATGCTGTGCCGTGTGTGCTTGACTGTGTGCGAGCTTGTGTTCCCATGCCTGTATGTCTGTTCAGAGTGGGAGGCATAGCACACCACAGTGAAGAGTATCTGGTCAGGACACTGCACAGAGGGAGAGACTTCTGGGTCCATCTAGAAGCCTTGGGTGCTTCCCTGAACATGTGCCAACAGTTAAGCCCCTGGAGCTCTGGAGGGTGAACAGGCGAGGGGTCTGCCTCAAGGGCCTTTTGCAGTTGGTGGCTGTCCAGACAGGATGGACAAACGCTGTCTGCCTGTACACAGTGTCCTGCTGCCTTGCTCATAGCTCCTGTTTCTACTGTTCTCACAGGGCCCAGTGTCAACCCTGCTCTGGTGCTGGAGCAGGAGCGACTGGAGTTGGCTGCTGTGGCCAAGGAGGTCGAGGCCAGGGAAGACCCTTGCCCAAAGCATCCTTCACGGACCCACATGACCAGCAGCGTCTACAGCAACAAGGGCTTTGAAGATGATGCCAAGAGTGCTGGTGACATGGACAGTTCTTTGCCTGAAAGTGGTCAGGCACTCTGATGGTGCTCACTCTTATGGCTTTAAGGTTCTGGACCTCATGAGGAACAATAGGTTTCCATGTGGTGGCCTCTTGACTGTTCCTCCTCCTTGGGGCCTACAGTGCTGTGCCTTTAAGGATGCCCCTGGTTCACCATGCCCCAGCAGTCCACTCACTTTTTGACTTGGCACCTTCCAGCATTCCTGCTGGTTCCTCTAAGAGTAGAGGCCCTAGAGCTTTAGGACACACTGTGCCTAGGCCTTTGTTTTAGACTTAACTTGTTCCTGGCTTCTCATTTTTAATCCATCTGTTCCCTTTGGTGAGGAGGTCTCATAAATACTGTAGTCACTAAGTTGCTCTTACTAGAATATTATTCTGGCTGGTCTCCACTTCTGTGATGATGGCTGCTTTTTTGGGCAGACCTCTGAAAAGCCACATTCCTCAGGGACAAGGACAGGGCAGTCCTACTTTTCATCCCACTCAATGGAGCACAGAATTTGGGCATGGGCTCTGGGGAAGAGAACTCCCAAAAATAGGCATTGGAGAAGAAGAAAGATTATTATTAAGCACATTTGATACTTAATAATGTCTGTTGAGCAGAAATGGTGTATTATGTCCTATGTTCCATTATTGGTAACTCTTAGTTTAAACTAATTTATGCAAATTACACAAAAAATACATGTATTTTAAAAGGTGATTTGTTGAGATACTAGTCTATGATTTGTTTTCTCCATTTTCTTCTCCCTCCTTTTAAGCAACTTGCTAGGCTATTATATGTTGTTGCCATAGAAATGCTTTTTGAGAAGGAGGGCTATAGTTTTCCCCAAAGCAGGAAAGGCATGGAATATGGTGAAACTGGCGTGCAGTAGAACTTGCAGATTCTCCCCTTCTGGAAACAGCCTATGATGTTAGAAGTATCTAGAAAGAGAAGCCAGTGGTATATTCAATGTTACACTCACGCAAACCATTAGGCTCAAGAGAACCCTGCGCTGGGGTAGTGGATATGAGTCTCAAAGACTGCAAAGAAAGAACCATCTGCAATGTGGGAGTGACTGAGTCTGACTTCTACCTGCTTCATTAAGAGGAATTGTCCCCATCAATACTATCCATGTTGTTGTAGCAACTCTATGTACAACAGCCCTAAACCCTGCTCTATCCTGTGCCAATCGCACTTCCTCTGACACACCCATCCCGATTACCCCAGTCACTGAATCAATCCACCTCATAGAGGGTCTTTCCCTCTTGCGCTGTCCCTCCACCCTCCCAAGCATGATATCCCTCTGCAAGGACCTGTCCCTCCTAACATGTCCAAAGTATGTTAGATGAAGCCCCAGAATCGTTGCAGCCTAGTTTAACCTTCTCTAGGATGAATCTGTTTGTTTTCTTGGCAGTCCATGGTATATTTAATACTCTTCTCCAGCACCACAGCTCAAAGGCATCAATTCTCTTATCCTTCCTAGCCATTGTCCAACTCTCGGTGCATAACAAGTGATTGCAAAGATCATAGCCTGTATCAGACGCACCTTAGTCTCCAGAGTTCTTCACCATTGTTCTTCAGTACCCTGGAGAGGTACCTAACAGCAGATTTCCCCATCGCAATACATTTTTTTATTTCCTGGCTACTGGTGCCAAGAGTGTTGACCTTGGAGCCAAGCAGACTAAAGTTGTTAACAATCTCAATCTCTTCACCATCCATAGCTACATAGACATACCACTCCACCTATTTTTACCAGTCATTGGGTGTGATGTTCTTTGCAGAATTCACAGACTTTACTCACAGTTGTGAAATTTATTAGGGAAATAGGTGGAGGAGTCAAAGAATATCTCACAGTGCAAGTCTAGGTTGAGTCCAACAGTCTCAAGGGAGATTAACAAGGTACAAGTCCTCTGTTACTAACAGCACAAATGCAAGAAGCCTCTGGTTTGCTCAACCATCTAGCAAACTTTATCTCAAAGCATTTACAAGTTAGTTTTTTTCTTCAATCATTCAGCAAGCAAAACCTTTAACTATAGCCTTTATGTCCAGGGTTCCTTTGGTTACTCTATGCCACAGTCTCTTCATAATTTCTCTGCCACTATCATCACCCTTTTCACAGTGTGGAAAGCACTCTCTTATATTGGTCCCATAGATGCTGATGATTTGAAAGACCATATATCCACAGTTATGGTAGCTGAAGACAAATACAATGGCTAGAAAAGTCCATTTTCAGGAGTTCTGATACCTCAAGGGCCAATTCTAAATCCCTATTTGATAGCTGTCTGCCTCCCTTCTGAGCTTCAACCCTTGCACATTCCCCTTCTGAGTGGGGCTTGACTGAGGAGCTGCTCTCACTCCTTACATCTCAGAGGATATGTCAGCTTATGTGCGGAGAAGAAGCAAGCAAGAAGAGAACCAATAGCTCTGGAATGTCTACAACAATAAATGAATGGAAACCCTAAGTCTCTGTAAACTTTCATTAAAATGAATTAATTAAATTAATAAAAGAACATGAAGAAATGCTCAAAATCACTGCAATGAGAGGGATGCAAATCAAAACCACAATGAGATACTATCTCATCCCAGTAGCAGTGGCAAAGTTTAACAGATTTTGTTTCCTTGTCGAATATCAGTTGACCATAGATAGATGGATTAATTAATTTCTGAGTTCTCAATTCTATTTCACTGGTCTATGTGCCTGTCATTGTTCCAGTATCTTGCTGTTTTGATTATTACAACTGTGTAGGTTTTGAGATCGGGCAGGGAGTGCTATGCCTCCAACTGCATTCTTGTTTTCCAGAAGTGCTTTGCTTATTTGAGGTCTCTTTCCTCTCTAAATAAGCTTGCCAATTGCCTTTACTATTTATTTGAAAAATGAGTTTGGGGCCTATACTGGAATTGTGTTAAACAGATTGCTGTTGGTAAGATTGACATTTTTACTATATTAAGTCTTTTTATCCATGAACAGGGAATATTTTTCCATTTTCTTAGGTTTTTTGTTGTGTCTTGGAAAAGTGTTTTGTAGTTTTCTTTGTACAGGTCGTTCCTGTCTCTAATTAGGTTTATTCCTAAGTATGTCAATTTGTGGTTGGCTCTTGTAAATGGTATTGCTTTCATAGTTTCCAGAGATCACTCTTAAAAATTCTACATGTGCAGAAATAGAAGAATGATCTGAGTAGCAAAGTAGCTTCTAATAAAAGTCACATTTCAAATAAAGGAGACGATAAAGTACTCAACAAATGGTGTGGGATAACTAGTAACTGGTAATTACTCGGATTAAAACAATGTATATCTATTTCATTAGGTAAATTAGGTAATGGTGAAGAGACCTTTCCAGAGTACTGAGAAGCAACAATGTCAGTCTAGAGACTAAGGTGCAATTGATCCAGGCCATGACCTTCTTTGTAATTACTTGTTATGCATCAGAGAGCTGGACAATGACTAAAGATGATATCTCATAGTTGTTTTGGAACCCTTATTCACTGTTGGTGGGAATGTAAAATGGTGTAACCATTATGGAATGCATATTCTCAAAAAGTTGGAAATAAAAATACCATTTAATCCAGCAATTCCACTTCTGTGAATATACCCCAAAAAAACTAGAGCTGCCACCCAAGCAGATATATGCACACCCATATTTATTGCTGCTTTGTTCACAATAGCAAAGAGTTGGAAGCAACCCAAGTGCCCAAATGAATGTATAGAGAAGCTGTGGTACATTCACACAATGGAATACTATGCAGCATTGGAAAAACAAGGAACTCATGAAATATTATTCAAAATGGGTGACCCTGGAAGACATTATGCTGAGTGAAATATCTTCATCATAAAAGGACAAATACTGCAAAATGCCAATGATATAAAACAAGACAGACATCAGATTTGGGGGAAACTAAGAAAAGAGGGGATAAATAATGTACACTGCATTAAAACAGATGAGGGAGAGAACTGCTTAAAAGGAACATATGGTTAGATATTACCAGCATGACAAGAGTCCAGAATAAGAGTTGCATAGTAAAGTGGTTGTGGGCAGGTTGGGGGAGATGAAGACTGTATAACAATGAAAGAACTTTTTTTTCCAAAGAAAAAAGCGAACTAGGGAGGAGGAGGAACAGGGACAAAAATGTGCAACAATGAGTAAATGGAAATCCAAGTTCTTTATAAACTTTCATTAAAATTTAAAATGAAACAAAACAAAACAAAAACCCATACAGTCAAATGCCTTTGCATAGTTAATGAAACACAGATAGACATTCCTCTGGTGCTCTCTACTTTCAACCAAAATCCATCTAACATTAGCTGTAATATTCCTAGTACAACAGCCTCTTCTAAACCCAGCCTGCACTTCTGGCAGATCTCTGTTGATGTGCTGTTCCAGTCATTATCGGTGAATTTTCAGCAGAAATTTGCTTGTATGTGATAATAATGATATTGTTCAATAATTTCTGCACTCTTTTGGGTCACCTTTCTTTTTTAAAAAAGTTATTTTATTAATTTTAATGACCATTTACAGAAATTTTGGATTTCCATTCATTCATTGTTACATTTTTCTCCCTGCCTATTCCCCCCACCCCCCAGTTTGCTCTTCTCTTTGAAAAATAAAAGAAAAATTCCTTCATTGATATACAATCCCCCACACACCCCAGTACACTCCATTATGCAACCTCCATTCTGGACTCTTGTCATAACCATAATACCCTATCATATATCACTTTTTTTCTTTTTTTTCATATATCACTTTAAAACTGTTCTTTCCCTCATCTGTTTCAATGCAGTATACATAATTTATCCTATTTTCCTCAGTCTAACCCCAACCCTGATGTCAGTCCCATTCTACAACAGTGGCACTATGCAGTATTTGATATTTTGTGACTGAGATATTTCACTCAACATAATGTCCT